GGTTCCCTATTACCAGCTTTCCTGTCCCCTCCTGCCTTCTAGTCCTTGCCCCTGGGCTGGTGTGTCCCTTTAGTCTCGTTTTGTTTTACAGGCCTCATCTTTGGCTGAAGGGTGAACCTCGGGAGTGACTTCATTACTGAGCTAAAAGGATGTCCAGAGGCCATATTCTCAGGGTTTCTCTGGTCTCTGTCAGGCCAGTAAGTCTGATCTTTTTTTGTGAGTTAGAATTTTGTTCTACATTTTTCTCCATCTCTGTCCAGGATCCTCTATAGTGATCCCTGTCAGAGCAGTCAGTGTTGGTAGCCAGCACCATCTAGTTGTAGTGGACTCAGTCTGGTGGAGGCCATGGTAGTTGTGGTCCATTAGTCCTTTGGACTAATCTTTCCCTTGTATTTTTGATTTTCTTCATTCTCCCTTGCTCCCAAAGGGGTGAGAGCAGTGGAGTATCTTAGATGGCTACTCACAGGCTTTTAAGAACCCAGACGCACTCACAAAGTAGAATGCAGAACATTTTCTTTATAAACTATGTTATGCCAATTGAGCTAGATGTTCCCTGAGACCACGGTCCCCATAGCCCTCTGCCCAGCAATTCAGTCCCTCAGGGAGTTTAGAAGTGTCTACAGCACTTCCATGACCCTTCCTTGCACAAGTTGTGCTGGCTTCCCCAGTATTGTGTACTGTCTTACCCTTCACCAAATTTACCACTTATCTATTGTCTGTTTAGATCCTCTCACCCCTCCCATCCCTCGTAACCAACAGATTGTTTCTTTTTGTGTGTAAACTTTTACATGAATTTTTATAGTAGAGGTCTCATACAATATTTGTCCTTTTGTGATTGACTTATTTCACTCAGCATAATACCCTCCAGATTTATCCATGTTATGAGATGCTTTGAAGATTCATCATTATTCTTTACTGTTGCATAATACTCCATTGTGTGTAGGTACCATAGTTTGTTTATCCATTCATCTGTTGATGGGCATCTAGGTTGTTTCCATCTTTTTGCTATTGTGAACAATGCTGCAATAAACATGGGTGTGCATATGTCTATTTGTGTGAGAGCTCTTATTTCTCTAGGATGTATTCCTAGGAGTGGGATTACTGGATGGTACGGTACTTCTATTTCCAGCTTTCTAAGGAAGCACCATATCATTTTCCAAAATGGTTGTATCATTTTGCATTCCCACCAGCAGTGCATAAGAGTTCCAATCTCCCCGCAGCCTCTCCGACATTTGTTATTTCCTGTTTTTTTGATTCATGCCAGTAATGCCAGGGTTAGATGGTATCTCCTTGTGGTTTTAATTTGCATTTCTCTAATGGTTAGTGATTGCAAGCAAATCCTCATGTGTCTGTTGGCCGCTGGAATGTCTTCTTTGGTGAAGTGTCTGTTCACTTCCTTTGCCCATTTTTTAATTGGATTATTTGTCTTTTTGTCATAGAGGTGTTGGATTTTCTTACAGATTTTAGAGATCAGACCTTTGTCTGATTTGTAACAGCCAAATTTTTTTTCCCAGTCTGTAGGTTCTCTTTTGACTCTTTTGGTGAAGTCTTTTGATGAGCGTAAGTGTTTAATTTTTAGAAGATCCCAGTTATCTAGCTTATCTTCTGGAGTTTATGTGTTGTTGGTTATGGTTTGTATCTTGTTAATGTCATGTATTAGGGCCTCTAGCATTGATCCTATTTTTCCTTCTATGAACTTTATAGTTTTGGCTTTATATTTAGGTCTTTGATAAATTTTGAATTATTTTTTGTGTATGCTGTGAGGTATGGGTCCTGTTTCGGTTTTTTTGCAGATGGATATCCAGTTTTGCCAGGCGCATTTGTCGCATGGGTAGCATTTGAAGGACCTATGATGATTCTGATTAATATTGAAGTTTCTATTTCCAATTCACGTACAACTACTATTCTGCCTGCTGTCTTCAGTTCTATTAGGATGTTTCTTTCCTTTGTGTATTTACTGTATGAAGCAAGTATGTGTTTCTTTGGAGTGTCAGTGAGAATCATTCTTCTCATCTGGCTTAGATGGTTGTGGCAAAATGCTTTAGCCATTCCAGTTCTGGAGATTTGTATAATGCTGGCACATATTGTTAGAGAGTAATGGAATAATGAGGCAGAAATAATCTGAGGATAATACTGGAGAAGCATTCACAATGTACAATTCCATTAGTTCTAAGGATTTCCAAATAAAAGACAGATTTAGGAGGCATACAAATGATTTGACAGAGCCATAAATTTGGAAATGCAGTAAGTAAAGCATAATGAAATACACAATTCTAGTCCTTTAGGGATCTACTAGTTAGGCAAAGCAGTAGAGGAAAGTGTCCTTGAAATCTTTTCTGAAATGAAATAAAAATGAAAATAGTAACAGAAAGACATCTGAAAAGACTTAGGGCAAGTAATTGAAATTACATACATAAAGGGCTTGTGCAGTGTAGTGTGACAGAATAAACAAACAAGCAAACATTATTTTTCTATTTATAATCCCCTCCTGACTTGAAGGGGATTAAAATTGGGTATGCTGAGGATATTTTGTTTGCTGAGCAGCACAATGGATTTAGATGTGTATTTTCAAGTTTCAAGGAATAGGAATAGTACCAAATTTGTCTTTAAAAATTGTGGGTGAATGGTCTTTCTGGAGCAGAGAAGTGGATCAAGCAGGGGCAGCAAGAAGAAAGGGTGGAGAGGGAGAAGAAGAGCAAGAGACACCTATCACTGGCTGGGAGCTGACTTGAGAAGTGTCCAAAGGGGTTTTATGCTATGAGAAGCCAAATTCTCCTTTTAGACTAATGTAAAAATCCTCAGTAAAAATCGACATTTTTCCTTAAGGATACATGAAGAGAAAAAAGAGGTGATCTTCAGGAAGTCAATTAAAATCTGGCTACATAAGTAAAGTTAAATGGTAAATGAAATCAAGAGATTTCTGATTGGATATTACATAAAAACTAGGAGGGTAAGGGAGCCCTGTTGGCACGGTGGTTAAGTGATACAGCTGCTAACCAAAAGGTTGGCAGTTCAAATCCACCAGCCGCTCTTTGGAAACTCTATGGGGCAGTTCTATTCTGTCCTATAGGGTCGCTATGGGTTGGAATCGACTGGATGGCAAAAGGTTAAAGGTGTAAGAGTCACTTATAGAGTGCTATTTTGGGGAGCCTGGGTGGAGTAATGGTTAAGCACTACGGCTGCTAAGCAAAAGGTCAGTAGTTTGAATCCACCAGCTAGCTGCTTCTTGGAAACACTTTGGGGGAAGTTCTGCTATTGCCTGTATGGTCGCTGTGAGTTGGAATCGACTGGACAGCAAAGGGGTTTACGTTGGGGAGAGGGCAGGTGTCATCCTGCGTATATTAGAAGATTGTGCTTTGGCCCATATTAAAAAGAGTATCTGAAGATGGAAATACTTTTAAAAAGAGAACGGTTTCTTCTGAGGCAGGAATGGAGAAGGAGTAATCGAGCAAGAGCTCTCAACAGCAAACTGCCAATAGGGAATGAGAGAAAGGAGTAAAATATTCAAGTCAAACAGGCAGAAAAATCATTCCCTCAGTTTTCTTTCAGCTAAAGGGTAAATCAGTTAGAATGAGGTGGGGGAGGAACTCCACCTCAGTCCCTCAGTTAGTAGCGCTGGCGCAGTCGTTAAGAGCTCAGCTGTTAACCAACAGGTCAGCAATTCGAATCAACCAGCCGCTCCTTGGAAACTCTATGGGGCAGTTCTACTCTGTCCTATAGTCAAATTGACTGACGGCAACGAGTTTGGTTTTTTCGGCTCACTTGCCGAGGAAATTGTATATTGATAACAGAGCGGAATTCTTCTTGGTTCCAGGAAGCTACCATTCTGGCCACTTGGATCAGAGAGATCCATTTCTAAAGATCTTGAATAACCTTGACTCTTTTTTCCATCTTTCCCTTCCCTCCTCACCCATTCCCTAAATCATATGAGGGCAGATATCATGAAATATAACTGACATTTGTATTCTGTTACTGAACCTACGTCAATCCATGGTGAGGGATATACTTACACAAACTTAATTTATGGAGCTGTTTTTGTGGCTGAAGTTGCTAATTTAATCTGGTATCGTTTACAGTAAGCTCACTCCCAACAGAGAGAGAGCCCATGACATATGCAACCCCTGTATCCTATCTGTCAACCAAAGGACACTAACAAAGAAAAGCCTGCTCATCATGTACCATTTGGATTTTTTTTTTTTTTAATGAAAAAGACCTGGTGTTACCAGCTAAGGGCCTGGGCCAGAATGTCAGTCTTGCAGAAATATTGAAAACTACTTACCATCATGTTGATTATGGCTCAGGGTGACCCCACATGTGTCAGAGTAGAACTGTGTACTATATGTTTTTTAATGGCTGATTTTTCAGAAATAGATAGCCAGACTTTTCTTCCAAGGCACCTCTGGGTGGACTTGAACCACCAATCTTTTGGTTAGCAGCAAAGCGTATCACCCGGGGTCTCCACGAAAATATTTGGTAGGCTAGTAAATTATGTCATGGAGATTTGCAATTCTTAAGCTTAACAATATACTTCCTGCTGTTCATCATTCTGTTAACTGGAACTCTCTAGCAATTATTACACTTGGACAGGCAATTTATATTTCATTTTGATAAAGATGGTCCTGCAAAGTACTGGAGTGGGTTTCCCCACTATGAAAGAAAGTACGTACTGTTTTTCATCAGTAATAATCACACCTCAGATAAACCTCATTGGCTATGATACTGCCACCGTGCAAAGCTAGCAAGCATTGTTTTTAGTATAGTATAATGTTAAAGGAATTATGTTAATTATATATATACACATACATATATGTATATATATACACACACATACATATACGTGTGTATGTGTGTATATACATATATGTGTGTATGTGTGTGTGTACATGTATAATAGTTGTCATTGACTTGATTCCAACTCATGGAGACCTCATGTGGGTCAGTTTAGAATTGTGCTCCATAGGGTTTTCAATGGCTGATTTTTCAGAAGTTGATCACCAGGCCTTTCTTCTGAGGTACCTCTGGATGTACCTTTCAGGTAGCAGCAGAGCACTTAACCATTTGTACCATCCAAGGACACCCATTTATATCTATATCTGTATTTGCATCTGTATCTGTACCTGCATCTATAGTTACATCGATATCATCATCTATATGTATATCTATACATACATATAAGCATATTTATATAAACAGAGAGCTAAATATATAAATAATATGCCATTGCACTATAGCATAAATTGATTCTATAAGTATCAATGTTTCCTGTGATTTCCTTTCACATTTTCTCTCCTACTAGCACCCTTAAGAAGCACTTGCCTAAACGTAAGTCAAAGCACACATGTTCTTTTCTCCAACTAGATACGACTAAGGCTAGGGTAGAAGAAGAAGGAAGTGGAGGAGTTGCTGAGATTGGCAAGAAAGACTTGTAGGGACTGTTGTCTTCCAAGTTGGAAGAAGAATAACTTTCATTTTTTAATGGACAGGGCTCGATACCGAGCCGTCCTTAAGTGTGCAGACAACCCGCAGTCTAACCATGAAGAAATCTTCTAAGTCTTCCTGAATTTAATATAATGTGGGCAACTTTGGCTACTTGCATGGGGTTAAAGGTGTGAAGGAAAACTCTGGCTCAAACCAAAATCAATTGCACATTAGAAAACTTCCTATGAGCCTGGCCCAATAATATTTCTTACAGAATATAGCCTATTTTATAGGATTTTTATAAGGTATAAATAAAATCATTTATGTACAATGACTGGGATACATTAGATGTTGAAAAAAATATTTGATGAATCTCACTGATAGATATATTTACATTTGGAAGGGACCTTAGAGATCATCTAGTTCAATCTTCTCATTTTATAAATAGGACAAGGAGGCCAGAGATAAGTGGTGGTTGGATCAAGACAATTCTAAGTTACAGTGCTCAGCTGTCCTGCGTCCCAGTGCTCTCCTTCCACTGTATTATAAAACCTTTCACTTGTTTTGTTTTGCATCATCCTATCACTTTCCTCCCTAACACGCTCACTCCCTCTCTCACACACACACATAACTTTGTGCTCATTTCGCTTTACAAATCTATTTTTTCTCCAAAGAATAAGAAACTGTTATATTTATATGTGTCTACTGAGATTTAGCAATGTAATTGTTCCAGTTGCAGCAAATCCACTGATTAACATCAATATGCTTTAGGGTGTTATATTAACTAAAAAGAAATTGTTAAGGGGATTTGTGTATAGTTTTTATTTAGTATGTATTAAGAAGCGCTTTAGAATGTTACAAGAACAAACTCACCCGAACTGAAAACCAAACAATACTATATAGAAAGTTGTTTTATAATTTTTAACAATCAAAAAGCAGCTTTGAGTGCACATTTATGTATCTAAAATGGATGCTCCTTCACTTCAGTAAGTACACGTGGTCCCAGTTTACTCATGAGTTGTTTTCTAAGAATAAATTTTTAAGTGGACTGCTGGTACTGGAGAACACTTTTTCCTTGAAATACATTAGAAATCTTGGTAGTTGAACTTACAAAGGACTTTTAACTCATAATCTAGCAATAAATAATGCAATAATATAATTCAGTTGCACTGCTGATAACTAAATAGAAAAAGAAGAATTGCTTTATCTTATTTACTCCCCTCACCCTTGAGCCAAGTACAGAAATGATCAGTATAATATAAAGTTAAGAACACATTCTCTAGGATCAGACTATCTGGGTTCAAATCCTGACTCTATCATTGAATAGACTGGGCAAGTTACTTAACCAGTCTAAAGTCTGTTTCTTTATCTGTAAAATGAAAATGACAATAGAGTTTTCCTCATGTGGTTGTCAGGATTCAACTGGCTAATCTATTTAAAGCACCTAAACCAAGTGTCTGACACATAATAAGCACCAACAAATGCTAGTTGCTTTTCTAGACCTATCACAAACATTATGTTTTTTATTATTGATCATAATTAGATTTATTTTTGTCTCACAAGTAGAACAAAGAAAGGGAAGATTGAAATTGCATATTTATGAGCATCTATTAGGTTCCAGACACTTTCACACAGACTTTCCCTTGATTAATACTCACTGAAAAAATGCAAGAAAAGAAATTTTTCAGTCTTTTATAAATGAGAAAATGGAGGCTAAGAGATTAAGAGTCAGGGAGGCAGTAAGTGGCAACCCAGGAATAAAACCCAGCCTGTCTGACTCCACGGTTGTGTTTTCACCAGTAAATACCACGACAACTATGTGAGGATGTGCTTGTGTTAAATACGAGATTAGAAATGCAAGGAAGTCACAATGCCTCTTTTCTTGCAAAGAAAATCTTTCCTGATGTCTTGGGGAACTTAAAAATAAGAATTCAGTTGAAATACACATGACACACAGTGAGAAATCAAGAATAGAGAAAAACTATCTCTATGAGCAAAATGTTACATTAATCTTAATTTTTGTAAAAACTTAGTGGTAGACTTCTTAATTTTCTTCAATTCTTACTATATTATCACAAATATGAGAGTAAACACTGGTTGTGCAATAACGACTGGGCCTGGTTGATATTATTGTGTCTTTTTAGAGTAGTACTGACTAAGATTGTAGCCACTACCCACGTGTAGCTACGTAAATTTAAACTTAAATTTGTTCAAATAAAATAAAATTAAATACAGTTCCTAAGTTGCACTAACCATTTCAAGTGTCAATAGTGTCATGGCTGCTATACTGAACTGCCCACATAGGGAACATTTCTATCATCACAGAAATTTCTGTTTAACAGCATTCTTCTAGAGTAAGTCAGGATGTGCAATGGAAGGATGGAGCAGGGAATTTTAATGGGCAAGAGATTGACTAGGCGTGGACATCAATTCTTTGCAGCTTGTCTTAGTTACCTAGTGTTGCTGTAACAGAAATACTACAAGTGGATGACTTTAAAGAACAGAAATTTATTTTCTCACAGTTTAGTAGGCTAGAAGTCAGAATTCAGGATGTGGCTCTAGGGGGAAGTCCTTCCTTGTCTATTTCAGATTTTAGTAGCTGCCAGCAATCCTTGGCACTCCTTGGCTGGTAGATGCATCTACCAGATGGATCAGCTGTTTTCCCCCTCCCTCCTGTGTGTGTTTCTGTGTCTATTATGCTCTTTTTATAACTCAGAAGTGATTAGGTTTAGGACCCACACTACTCTGGTATAATCTAATTAACATAACAAAAGAAAACTCCTATCTCCAAACAGTGTCATGTTTACAGGTACAGAGGTTAGGACTTCAACACATATTTTAGGGGGGCATTGATTCAATCCATAACACAGCTCCATGTAGTGGAAAGAATGGTAGTGTTCCATTCTGCAGTATTGAATGGACTCCACTTGCACAATAACTAGCTCAACAAGTGTGGACAACTTTCACTTTCCCAGAGTTGCAGTTTCCTGTTTTGTTCAATGGAGCAGACACAGGCATACCTTGCAGTCTTATTGTGAGGATCAGTACAGATAATGTATAAGAAAGCTCCTGTGTACTACAAATAATATTCAGATGTAAGGTATCATTCTGATATCTGGTTCTTTGAACTACTTCTCTAAAGTAATACAATCCTAAAAACTTGTGTCCAGCACTGAAGTCCAGGCCCTGCCACTTATTAACTCTGTAAGTTCTAGACTCAGTTTCCTTTTTCTGTAAACTAAGAAAATTTCACATAGACATTGTGATTTTAAATAATATATATGTGGAAGTTCTTTGCAAACTATGACACAGTATGTAATCTAAGTCAATATTATGTTTAAAAAGATAAATGGCTAGTTGATACCTCCTTAATTTTCTATCACACTATGCTTTCTCACCTCCACAATACTTGCATCCACATTCAGAGTAAAGTGCCTAAAATAAGAGATGGCATTTACCAAGTACAATTCTACGTGCTAAGCACTGTTCTAAATATACAGTATGTATTACCTCATTTAATTTCTGCACAGCCACATGAGTATGCACTATTATTTTTATTTCCATTTACCTGGACAGTAACCTCTCTGAGATTCAGATAGGTTATATTGCCCAAAGTATGTATTAGAGCATTTGAACTTGGACCATTTACTGAGAGCCTCTATTCCCAGTCACTATGCTCTACTATCTAAAAATAACACAAAACAATGCCACTTAGCCTTTCATCAATCCATTCCATATTTCCATTACTCAGTATTTATTGCCCACTTCCCTTAGGTTAATAAATATAATCCAATTCCAGGAGTAAAAATCACTTTTTAACTAGACAAGATGATTATAAATTTTATATTTAAAAGTAAACAAGCAAGAATAGCTAAGAAAATTCTCAAAAAAAAAAAAAAAGTAAATAGAGGTAGAAAGTTTCCCTGTCAGTTATTAAAATATGTGATAAAGATTTATTAATTTAACCAGTGTGGTGATAGTGAATGAATAGACAGGTCAAAGAAACAGAATAGAAATCCTGACAATCTCAAACACATTTGAAAATTTAGAATATGGTAAATGTCACGTTTTTATTAGTTGGAAAAGATGAATTATTTAATAAATGGGGGTGGGGGACAACAGGAAAGTACCCAGAAAAAATAAAATTGGAGACTTCTCCCACAATTTATGCAAATACATTTAAGATGGATCCAAGTTTAAAACAAACAAATGAACAAAGGGAACAAACCCATTGTGAAACTACTAGAATAGTCTGATTAAATCTAATCCGTCCATATAGATAGTGATTTTATAAAACCTACAATAATTGCTGCAACTCT